TTGCTGGATTCATCTTGTTGAGACTTTTAATTCGACAATAGACTTGCTAGATTCGACATTTGTTTAACCTTTTAAATATGTTTAAAAAACTTCCAAGAGATGCTTAATAACTTGATCTGAGCTTGATTTGACTCAAATTGGACTAATTTTGAAATCATTGGGTTTGTCTTATTAAGTCGGTCAGCTTGAATGTAAATTTGCTGAAATCAAAGTTCTATGTGACTTTTAATCAAAGTTTAAACACTTCTTGCTCAAAAAACACCTCGACATCCGTGCCACACCTCACGATTCGTGTTGGATATTGAAAATTTATTGATGATGTATCAATAGGCAAGGCGACTCAATCGTCGCAACTCACTAAAACACAAATCAACTGAGAATAAATAAGACTGGACTTAAGTGCTTGGCCATTTAGTCTGATCAACTAGTCTATGTCATGATTTGAAAGGCATATCTAAAAGGTTTTATGACTTTTTGTGTTATCAGGAAGTCAGTTGTAACCCTTGGTGAGTTGGGGCTATTTAGTAATCCTATATGCGATGGCATGCTTTTCATGATAGATCAGTGTGACTATTAATTCTTATATGTCAAGTTTATTGCTCGCATTATCCATATAGATTCCTTATTTTTTATAGGAATGTCTTAGTGCTTCAGCATATTTTCCAAAGCAAGAAAACATTCAATGTATTAACTTGCTTTACAAATTATGAGGCAACATGGATACAGTAATTCAATGTCAATCATGGGTAAATTAAAAACATCAAAAACATTTTATATATATGTATATATATATATATATTTGGTGTGAGATAATTAAATCCATAAGATTGTGTGTTGTGTATGCAAATGCCCCATTTTGAATCTTGAAATTATTGTTCTTGACGCGTGTCGATCGTCAACTTGTAAGAAGTTGTTGGTTTAAAATATATTTAATTTACTACACACACACACACAGAATATATATATATATATATTATAGGCAAGTGATCAATTTGAAATTTGGAGATGGCATATAGGTCCCCTGTACTTTAACATTTGAAATTTCATTAAAGTTTAATTTGAATTTTAGACTTTATTTTGAGCTAGTTTAATTTTTCTAAATTCTTAAATATGCTAATCATATAATATAGGACCAATTTGATGATTCTATAATCTTAATAACATAAGAATTCTCAATTTAAAATCATGGTTTACATAATGTTTTTCTCTAAATATTTTACTTCATTTAGAGAATGAAACTGTTGCACGGTTTTATAAAAGATTCATCACAATTGTATGCTTGTTGGCCCAAGGATGTTAAATTCTTCAATTGAACTTCATTATGCATTTTAGCTACAATAGATACCAAGAGATGAGAAAAAAAACTAGCCCGTGAATTGAGGAAAAAAACCTAGCCCATGATTTGGGCAGGTTTGTGAAAGATATGAAACATGCAACAGAAAAATATAATGTTAGAGCGAATAAACTTACACTATTAAAAAGGCCATGGGTAGCATCCCGACAACTTTTGTAGTGACGTGCCACATGATTTATTAGTAAAATTCAAAAGAGAGATAATACATGGGATATAAAAAAAAAAGTACTTATTTTTCTTGACTAGATTAGTACTTCAAAAGAGTGAAATGCAATGCTAGGATAATGAAATAGGAACATAACAAAGAGTAAGTAATAGACATTGAGATAAAGAGACTATGTGAGTGGTAATATTAGTTCAGGAAAACGATAGAGGTTACAAGAAAGAGAAAGTGAAACTTATGAAAGATGTTTAGAGAGAAGAGGTCCATTCTTTCATATATTGAAATTATGTCTCTCTATTTTCAGAGGCATTGTCTTGTTTGCTTTTGAGACTAGCGGGATAGGTCACCAAAATTAACTTGGGAGCTAGAATGCTCAACTTGGCAATTGGCATTAGTATTTGGGTAACAAATAAATAGAATTTTGAATTATTGATTTCGGGACCTACAAGAAACAAGCTCCATCATTAGGATGAAAGAAATATTATGTGCATAGTGTCATAACACAAGCTTGAAATGTAGAGATCCAATTGTTGCACCAAGCGATCCCTTTGTAACATTTATGGTAATTACATGTGAGCCAAATATATCCTTTGGAATAAGAAGTTGGTGATAAAAAATACAAGTGTATATAAAGCTATTTACATGTAGCTTTTAAACTAAAAAAGAATATCACTAGAATGGTCTAAGGCTTTCATGAAGCAATGGGATTTAGAGAGATCCGTTGGACTCGAAGATTTACACACAATACATGATCTCCCCAATGAGGACAATGATTAGGATGAGCATATTCCTCATTATAATGTGGAATTTAAGAGAATGCAAACTATCTTGATAATATGATTGATAAGATTGATAGTGAATTTGTTTATTCTAAAGGCAATTCATTGTATTTTTTATTGCTATATTCAAATGTTGCATGAATGTCCAAATAATAAGGTAACACTAGAAAGATGGATCAATGAAGTCATCGACCGTATAATTAGAAGTGTTTTCATATGAGTTTTTTAAATAATCCATTTCTTTAAATCATAAAATTGATGCACAACAAGTTGTTCCCACTTGGAAATGGATCCACTTCATTGTCACACTTTCCTTGCTATGTCGAGAATTTAAGAAGGCAAAATTGTCATTCTTCATCAGCTTATGTCTTAGTTGTTTTGTCTTGCTATGATAAAAGTCAAATAAAATAAAACCTGAGCTATTCTTAATGTTGATGAAATTTTTGAAGCAATTAAAGTCGCATTACCTCCTCCAATATTTCTTTGGTTTGGAGAAGTTCTCATATTAATGGAAAGTCATAAAGAATTGAGTTGTGATGCTATGATTTAGCTTATGCTTTCTTAGGTTTGTTAAATCAATAATTTGTTTGTATCATTTCTTACTTAAAAAGTTTTTAATTATCTGGTAAAGAAGAAATTTTCAAAGATGATGCGCACTGCTGAATTAGAGCTTTATTCTCTTAGTCGGATGATTTAAAGACTTCTACTTACATCAAGATGACATTTCCCACTATCATGCAAGTCATTCAGAGTTTGACTCTACCAGTAGATCTTGGAGAAATAATTATTGATGGCATTGATACCAACAATTTAGGGTTGAGATTATTGATCCTCATTTTTTATTTGTTTCTATTGATTACTGGTTTGTATATTAAGCCACAGCCCCATCTTAAAGTTTCTATTTTTTCATAACAATGACTTGTCTGCAAAATATCTAAATTTATCAATTTCCTATTGCAATCATTTCCACCATAACCATGGAGATAACCACGTTGATGAAAAAAATTGAGATTTGCCAACATAAAACATGCTTAATTGACAAAAGAGAGACTGAGAATAAGAAGTTGGCCAAGTTTGAGCAATGCGCATCCAGCCAATCCAACCACACAATAGACTGTAATCCACTTGAAAATGAAATGCAACTATCATCTCTCGTGAGAAATTGGAAAAAAAATACAATCAATTCTCTCAACATGAGCTTCTATGCATAAGTAAGTATTAAAAAACCAACTATAATGACACTGGTGCTATGTTATTATTTATAAATCAGGAATGAAAGAAATGAAAGGAATGGAATGATGAATGAAGGGAAATAGGAAACAAATTAGAAAATCACACAAAAGTACATTACAAGTCATTTTACACAGATCTAAAAAACATTGTTAAAAAAAAACAAGATCTCATTCTCATTTGATCATGTACTAGTAATAAAAGGAAAAATATGAAAGCAAAGAATAAACTTCTAATATGAATCATATCAAACAATCCAAGCTTGTTTTATATGATTTGCAAACATTTGAAACTTTTCATGCTGATTCCTAGTGATAAAAAAAATAACAAATAAAAAAAATCCTTTGAAAAGGATTATGATTGTGTGCTTGTTCAAGTAACCTCGCCCAATTTTACATTATAGAACCCTGCATCCTAAGATTATGATCTTCTCTAGAAATATATAGTACTCTGAACAAATGACAAAAAATCCTGAATCAACTTCACTAATTTGCTTGGCAATGTGATGCATACATGCCATGCAAATTTTGATGTGATGTTAACAATTTGAGTGTTCTGCCTGGAAATATGAAAGTTTAGGTTTTAGATATGTAAATACATAAAAATTGCATGCTATGTATGCATATGCCCCATTATTTTACTGTGCTCTTAAGAAAATAAAACATCAACACAGTACCTTAACCAAGTTACTCGACATCATAAACTCTTCTTCTTTCATATCTATCAACCTTATTTGTTATCCATCCGTTTCAGCAAATTGTACAGCTTTGCATATTAAGCCACTGAACTACAATTTACATCTCAATGTTTCAATTTATTTCATATTAATGATTTTTCATTGGATGAAATATGTTTAAAAACTTGTCAGCAAAATATAGGAATTAGCCAATTTGCTAAATAAATAACATAACCATGGACACGACAACACAAATTCATGAGATAGACCTACAAAGATAAGAAGTTGCAAATTTAACAAAAAAAAAACCCAATTTGAGAATATCGGCTAACATAAGGGTCCATTTAGAACAGTTGGGTTTTCTATTTAGGTTTTAGATATGTAAATACATAAAAATTGTGTAGTGAGTTCCAGCTCAGTAATAATTAGATCTATTAGAGTATAAGAACTATAAAAAAGTTGTTAATCTCAAAATAAAAAATAATCTACAATACTAACAACTTTCAAAAAAAAATATTTTTACCATAATAATGTTATAGCTATCTTTATATATAACCACATACATCCAAAAAGAACCCTTGTACATCCAAACAACCCGACCCTGCAGAAAATTTCACTTGAAAATGAAATACATTAATAATAATTTATTAAAAAATAAAATAGACTATCAATTTGTTGGGCATAATGTGCATTAGATGGGCAACCAAAAATGAACTTGAATAAGACCAATATTAATTGTTAACCATAATTCAAGAATAAAATGAAAAGAAAAAAACAAAAAAAAAGAGATATGACGACTCGTACAATCATTGAATGATAAATGTTTAGAGCAACAACATAATTACATTCTAATTTAATAAAACAACAACAATATAAGAGGAAATAGAAAGCAAAGAATAAAATTTTTCAAACATGAAGCTACAAAATTTGAGAGGTATCGATATCACTCTGTAAGGGATACCCTAAGAATTTCCACTGTGCTTGAATTATCTGAATTGTAGCATCAATCCTTCATCGTTAAGTATGATTTATGATGACAATGGGTTAACTAAGATCATTTGCAGATGTCATCTTTTCCTCGCCTTCAATAATCTTACCTTCTTTTGGGACTAGACAAGGAATTCCATCAACTACTTGATAGAATAACCTAGCATGCTAAATAAAAAAACCCAAAAAGAAAATGACATAATATATGAAATACAGCGAAGAAAAAAAAAACTGTTACATTCATGTTACATTTTATATTCTTTGTTGAATTCTCTACACAATTTTTTTAAGTCTTGTAGTTTACAAAAATAACAGATGCAAAATAACAAAAATCCACTCGAAAGAAGTAAATATGTTTTTGGAGAGAAAGCAACAAAAACTTATAATAGATATTGGCAGGAAAACAGTAAACATAGAAGTATTCCATGATGTTTGATTGGATGTTAGTTGAAAAGCCTAAAAAAAAAATCCTCTATGAACCAGATATCGTGAATATTAATTCCATATCTTAGAAGGTAAAAAGCACCAGATGTGTATAATAGAGTTTTCAAAGAAGCATTAATAATGCCTAAAGTGCAACATATCCTAAGATGCAATGCATCCATTGTTGGAGAAAAGTGAGCACCCGAGAACCATAACAAACAAGACCAAGAAAAATAAAAGCACGACAAAAAACACGTCAAAAAAAGAGAGACAGGATTTATGTCATTTGGTGTGATTTAATTATGTCCAAGGCCTCAGAGAGATGCACCCACTAGTTTAGCAATGTATAAATGGTTACAATATTTGACACCAAAATACTTCATCTCTTTGCTTTTTTTTTTCCTTTTTTCCTCTAAAAAATCCCTCTAATCTCTAGAGTTGTGTTCAAAACCTTAATGCCAACTCCCGAATAAACCTTTTGAAAGTCAAAATAGAATATTCAAAAGAAAACTCAAATTATATAATTGTAACAACAAATTATTAAATATGATATACTCTAGAGACGGTTTTATTCATCTTTCATTATTTTGTTTGTCAAAATATTTCTGGTGAAAAAACTTTCTTTTTCTATGCTCCCGCCATAGTATAGTTGTTGCACAGGCCTCCACAACTCCGAATTATACTCCAACCATTGGATATATCCAACACTCTTTGCATCTATATGTTGGGGAAACCTAACAACACCTTGTGCAATCTTCACAGTACAAACCACGGCTAACTTTCCCAAACTTAATGCCTTTGACCACCAGTTTTCAACTACCAAATAAATTTAGTTCTCGCTCTAAACATCTACCTTCATAATCATTGCATTGATGGCATCCCAAAATTGCTTGATCCATTGATAAGCATGTTAGCTCCACACATGATGCCTGTATTATGTTAATATCACCAATCCATAGGGAATACATTAGTCAGATCTTTCCTAGGAGTTTGACCTAAATAAAAAACTAACTTTTTGTCTATATCTAATGAATGAAAGCATGCAATAATGTGACTTAATATTGTCCTTCATAATAATATAATAGTTCTACAAATTAAAAAAGAAAAACAAAGTTGAACCAAATTACATCAAATAAAATAAAGCATAAAACAAACAAAAAAAATTAAGTCAAACAAAAGAATGATGAGCGGACATAATTATATGCAAAGATGGACTCATGGGCAAGCAACTTCTAAAAGAGAATATGGACAATAAAGATGTGATCATGTGTTTAAGGCTTAAAATAGCGCTACATTCAAACTTCGAAGATGAAGGTAAGCTTTGTGATTGAATGAGTAAGAAAAAAAAGCTCTGTTTTTGTCTCGATAAGAAAAGTTTTGCAACTAAAAAAAAGCTCAATGTTCGTTTTGCAAAGACAAAGATGGCATTATGCATTCCATTTGTCTGGCCTAGATTGATAGTTTTCCCACAATTTTACAATCATTTATCACACGTTTGGTTTGTTTGCTTTCACACTCGTGAGTTATGTTACACTCAACCAATCAAAAAAAAATTTTAGCATGCTTAAGAGATTGTTTAAGGTAGAAAAGACTGCGACGTTAAAATAACAAAAATCTTAGCTAAGAAAAAGATAGTATTAACAACAAAATAATAAATTTTAAAGTAGTAAATTATTTAAACTTTAAGGGGTTGTTTGGGATCAATTTTATTTTATATTTTTTTTATTTTTGAAAAGAAAAACAAACAGAAAAACGATTATCTGTTATTTCTTTATTTTTTAATTTTATTTTTAAATGAAACACAATTGTTTGTTAAACGCTCAAAAGATAAAAAATGTATTTTTATCTGTTTCGAGAAAAAAAATTTCTCACTTGCATCTCTCTCAACCTGCATGTTGGGGAAAAATTATGACATCAAGACTCTGTATGCAGTACTACTTGCGGAGTCTAATCTCGTGCTGACACGTGGAAGGTCGGCTCACCCACATAAAAAATGAAACAAAAATGAAAACGCGCGACCCGGCCCGACCGATGCGTTACAGAGCCTAAGCAAATATTTTTTGTGTTATTTATCCTTGTCGTCGTGTTATACGAATACTCCATCGTGTTATTCTAAAAAACACATCAATAACACATCAATAACACATTAAATAACACATGAATAACGCAGAAAATATTCAAAATACGCGAGGGAATATTCCTATAACACGGAATATTCCTAAACCCTCAATAACACATTAAATAACTATAAGTTAAATATAAATTATGACATTTAAATAAATTATTTTTATTCTATAAAACACTAATAACAAACTAATAACATACTAATAGTACATAATAATACACTAATAACACAATTATACACTCCCTAGCCCACGGTATAACATGTGGGGAATATTCTCTGTGTGTTATACCGCGGGTTATAACGCTGATCCATGTGTTATGCAGCCGCCCTATAACACTCCCCTAGCCCGCGTATAACAAGTATTGAAAATTCCCCACGTGTTATACCGCGGGCTAGATTGTGTATAATTGTGTTATTATGGGTGTTATTATGTGTTATTAGTGTGTTATTATGTGTTATTAGTGTGTTATACCTCAATAACACATCAATAACACATGAATAATGCATAAATATTCAGAATAACGCGGGGGAATATTTTTATGCAATGAAATATTTCTATAATGCATCCGTCATGCTGGTTCGCGCGTTTTCATTTTTTTTTTCTTTTTTTATGTAGGTAGATCGGTCTTTCATGTGTCAGCGTGAGATTGGACTCCGCAAGCAGCTCTGCATGCGGAGTCCTGATTTTTTGCATGTTGGGTGGGTTCACCGCATGGACGGAGTTTTGAGTACCAGCGGTTAGAAATCTGTGAAACAGTTTCCCACCTTTGAAATCTGCCAATGATCGCAGACTTGTCACCACCGTATTCCTTGTCACCGGCCATATTAGTCTCACCGACTTCAAACTTTTGGGTTAGATGATGTCGTGGCTTGGATGAGGACGGTCTCGGGCTTGAGTTTGCAGTAGACAATGTCGAGGGAATGGAAGTGGAAAGGGCGGATATGAGTTTTGAGAGGTAGAAGCAGATGGCAGAGGTGGAGAGGACATGGCCGGGATGGAGGGAGAGGCAGAGTGAGTTGAGGTCTCCACCAACCCCCTCTGTTGGGGCAAAAAGGGATGGCCCAACCAAGGAGGTCGGGGTTTTCGACGTTGTCGATGAGGAAGGAGAGGAAGGGGGGTTAACGAAGATGAAGAAAAATAAATTTTTTTGTCAACTTTATAAAATTTGGCTTGTCAATGAATAATTTTTAAGGGACCTTCTAAATTATTTTTATATTTCATTTTTTCTTTTATTTCTAAATAGATTCATTTATTTGATGTATTATTAATTATTATCATATTTTTATTGTTTATTTTTATAAATAAATTAAACTATTTAAAGTTTGTGTGCGCTCATTGAAAAAAAATTTATGTGAAATTCTAGCCCTTTTATTTTATTTAGTCAAAAAAATATCTGAATCTAGCTTTAATAACTTTATCTGAATCTAGTTTCGCCAACGGATTATGTTTTTCGACGACTTTTAAGGCGAATGGGGGAGTTAAAGGAGATGAGCGGTCGGTGATGAGGAAGACAATGCTAGTTGCATATATGTAAAAATAAATTATGTTTAATTAATTGTTTAAAATATAATTATATGTTCTTTATGGTTGATACACATCCAAATATGTTTTATATATTTTTTTTTTTAAGAGCAAATAAATTATAACGGTACCAAACATATTTTCTAAATACTGAAAATAGAAAACAAAAGAAAAACAAAATCAAAATCAGAAAACAAAAAGTAATTCGAAACAGAGCCTAATATTAAAAAATTAAATAGTATATACTATAAGAGCAACATGTCATGCACTATAACGCATATAGCACAAGCTCCTTTGGCTGCACACACACTCTTACACAAATAACACAATATGTGCCTCACTACGCCATAGGTTGTAGCACAACTTCTTTTGCATTATTGATAGATATGAGCAAGCTCCACTGCAAATTTAATATAGCTCATTTGAAATTTGAATGTCTCCATTGTTGCCTTTACGTGCACTCCTCCCTTTGCACTCAAAATTTTGAGTAACAGATAATGATCCTTCATCTAATTCTCATCTTCTAATGTCTCACTCAAAATTAGGTTAAGAACATCAGTGAGTTCCAGCTTCGTATTCCAATATGAATTGCTAATCATCGTCATAGTTTCAAAATAGCACCCTGATAGTGATGCTAACAAGCTCAATGCATGAATTTCATTGTCAAAGTTGAAATCAACCAAACTCAACTAACTTGTGATCAAACCAAACTCTCCATTGCATTCTTATGGAAGAACCTTCAACTGTCATGTTACTGAAAAACTTTCTTATGAGACGTGCCATTTGATGGTTCACTTCTTGCATATCTTTAATAGAGCTGTCATAACAAATGTTATAGCCTTCTAATGCAATTTATTAAAGAAAACATTATTCTTCAGCATGGAGTACAACTAATAGTGATAATTCAACATGAGAACCCAACATTTTTGGTTCATGGTTTTAGGTTATGAATCCAAAAGACGTAAATTCAATTTTCTACGTATTGGTAATCCTTCATCTCCAACTTCTAGTACTTGAAGTCCTTACCACCAAATTTATTGATCTTTGCTTTCCCATTTTTGAATGTCATTGCTTCCATTTTCCCCATCAAACTGTGAAGCTTTGCTTTGACACAAGTTGTTGAGAAGAAAAATGCACCCCAAGAACTAATAATGAGAGAAGTCGAGGGCAATTGAAATACGCCGAAAAAAGAGAGTAAAAAATTTATGTTATTTAGTGAAATACATGTATGTAAACAACTGCATAGAAGAACTGGTCTAGAGATGTGTGCAATAATACAATATTTGGCCCCAAATAATTTCTCATCTTGGCTCCATATTGTCTTTTATTTCCTCTTTCTATATAATCCCACACCCATTATTCTTACCACAAAGTCAAAACAACAAAGACAAAAGGAGATTCAAATTATATATGTTTTACTATAAATAGTACACTCAACAAATTATTTTTATCAGTTGTTTATCTTAGTCAACTTATCTCTATCAAGTCAATTCTTGTTAATCTTCTCTCAACAGCAATTTTGTTGCAACTTAAGACTCAACCCCACCGTCATATGCTTAGATCGTCAATAATCTTCACTGCATTTTACTTCCAATCATCGATCAAACCTAACAAAATTCTTGTCAGCAATATAGCATTGGCAGCAACTTTGCAAACTCAACACCTGTAATCCCTTGTTCTCAATAGCCAACCTCATTTGCTAGTGACTCAAGGCACTAGCATCATCTTCCTCTACACTAGTGATGCCTCAAAATTTCCTACCTCATATATTTGCATTTGAGCAATTCTTGTCAATGTTTAAGAGTTGAAAGCTTTGTTAGCTCACTACTAATGAAGCACCTCGCTAGTTCAATCTCTACCATCTACAATGGTTTACCTTTATGTTAGTCACAATTACCCAGTATCAAACTCCATGGCACACAACTAAAGATCAATGCTCCTTATAGAGCTCAAACTACCATCTTTCATCTGAGATTGCAACCACGTCTAAGAAAGCAATGGCAATCCTCCGCATTACTCCTTTTATAAATTAATGAGGTGGTGAATAGTGAGAACACGTAAGGCAAATAATTAGGAATTAATTTGGTAATAAATAGTAAAATTGAATTAATTGACTCAAATTTCAATGATTGATTTAGTAATAAAACTTCGATCAAATTTCGGCCACTGATTCACCAAGTATCAAGATATTCAACAATTTGGCGAGATCTAATTTGAGAAATTAAGTTCCAAGTCATAACAACCATATCAGCAAGCCACATGGTCACGCGGCTACACCATTAGTATTTGGCAAATTTATGATTTAGCTTCCAAAAATTTAGTAAAAAAGTCAGGAGACACATTAATGTCAGATGCATAACTAATATGTATCGGTGCTAATCAGCATATTACATAAGCTAAATAACAGGCCTGCTTGTCAATCTTGCACAGCCATTAAATTATTAATGGCGTTAGAATTAAAACTTCTAGTTCACATTGGTGGAAAAAAAAGCTTGGCCAATTGTTCTAAAATTCTTCAAAATTTAAATATCACACAAAAAAAAAACATAGAGGCATGTACATTGTGCAGTAGTCCAGTTTTCTCGAGATATATATTTTTGACTTGATGAATTTTCTTCTCTAATAACTTCGTCTAAAACAACACAGGTGATGTCATACATTTTCAACAAACTATTGTGAGAAGTCAAATGTGACCCCTAACATGTATCTCGTGCATATTTTAATATACCAACTTGATTTAATCTCTTATCATTATCTATTTCATCAATTATAATTTTTTTTGTAATTTTAGTTGCTTGAGCAATTTTCATTTGATCTTGTCTTTTACAAAAAAAAAAAAAACAAATCAAAATAATTATAAGTGCCATGTAAGCGAAAAATTAACAAACTAAAATAACATATTTTGATGAAGCTGCATAGTTATTAAGGATATGTCTATTACCAAAACATTTGAGGAGGGCAAAGTTTTCAATGTACAATATAATATTACGTAGTTAATAAAAATCTAGGAGGGCGGCCAATTTCACAGGCAGCAAAAGTTATAATGTATAATATAATATTACATAGTTATTAAAAATTTAGGGAGTGACTGTTGTGGGCTTGATAGGGATTTTCTTTGGACACTATCCCAGAACAAATTAAAACTTCAAAGAAAATACATAACAGATGATGCTCAAAATTCCCCGACTTTCATGTTTTTTTCTCTTATGATCAAACTAAATTGAAAGAACAGGTCTTCTATCAAACACAGTGCACGCAAATGTACATTCCTCAGAATTGAATTCAGATACAGGATTGAGAGCTTTGATGCAAAAACTATGAGCTCCTGGACCTTCCAATTGGATGTACAGAAACAAAAAGGTGGATTTCCTCGCTAAAATTTCAAATGGGAACCACAGATAGGGCAATAACTATGCTAGAATTGGGGGAAAAGAAACCTACCGGGAAAGAAACGCCAATTGCATTGCAAATGATAGATTGAGTTTCCTGGCAATACCTGCACGGGAATGAGGAGCCGACCAAAATAATGAAAAATTCGTCAATTTGAAAAATTTTTCAAAACAAACAAAGTATGGACGAAGCTGAAGACAAACCTCAATGGCTGCTTGGAGATAGGGCAAACCAAGATGTCGAGTAGGGCCTTGCTGATGGCACCCGCGTCCTTCAGATGGAGCGCCATGCTAGCTCTCACCATTCCTTTGTGAAGACCAGAGGCATCTGCTCGCAGATATAGAACTAATCCGCTTCGGCTGGGTTTGTAAAATAAACATTTTTTTTAGACTAAATGTATCTCTATGTACAAAAAAATCCAGTCAATGGGAAGTAAAGGATGAGCTGACCAGTGATTTTGACTAATTTCATGTTATCAAAATAACTAATTAATCAATTATGAAACAGGTATAATTATTTTAAAATTAATGAAATTAACATCTTCTATGCATTTCATGTGCCAATAGCAATTACATCTCACATATCATCCCCTTTAATTCTATGCTCAATTGTTATAGGTTTGTAGGGTCTTCATCATTTGTCCTCATTAAGTCACTATAATTTATGTTGAATATTAAACATGTTGAATAAAGCCATGTTTATAATGGCGGTCAACAAAATTGTGCAGTATTGCGCAAACAATCAGAATAGTACCAATGAAACACGATTTTATAGTCATTTTTTATTGATTATCTACCGTAAATGTCTTTTGTTATGATGCAGAGTATGATTGTGCTGATTAATTGGTTACTCAAAGCTCTTAGTTTCATTGATAAAGATAGTCGATAAGTTTGTTAGGAGAGTATGGAGGTGACCCCTTATATTGGGTTAGGGGGCACTGCCCCTAATATAAATATATATAAATATATATA